TTTGAGTCCTTTTGCCCCCTTCATCCCAGCCCTATCAAGCAATGAGTCAATGTACTGAGACTGATCAAGTATGAGTCCATTAGAAGTGTAAGAGACCTGAATTCCCAGAAAGAAATGAAGCCTGCCAAGGTCTTTAAGGGAGAAGTGGTGTCTGAGAGATTCAATGACCTTATCAATATCAGAAGAATGTGAACCAGTAATTATGATGTCATCCACATAAGCTAGGATGAAGATAGAGGATTGTAATGTATGCTTATAAAACAAAGAAGGGTCAGCCTTAGATGCAATGAAGCCTAATGAGAAAAGGATAGCACTGAGGGTGGTGGACCAGGCCCTAGAGGCCTGTTTTAGGCCATAAATAGATTTGTTTAATTTGCAAACAAGACCAGAGTGTGAATTTATCTCAAAACCAGGTGGTTGGTCCATGAAAATCTCCTCCTCAAGAGTGCCATGCAAGAATGCATTATCAACATCTACCTGTCTCAACTCCCATCCAAGAGAAACAACAAGGGTAAGAACAACCCTTATGGTAGTAGACTTCACTACTGAATTGAATGTCTCTGTATAATCAAGGCCAGCATCTTGTGTATAGCCTTTAGCAACCAAACGAGCCTTGTGTCTAGAGATAGAACCATCAGGTTTAGTTTTAAGTTTAAAAATTCACTTGGAACCAATGACTTTTCTGTCTGGAGGAGCTGGAACCAAAGTCCAAGTGTTATTGTGTAAAAGAGCCTCATATTCTCTTTGCATGGCTTGGTGCCATTGAGGAGAGGACATAGCTTCATGAATGGTTGTAGGTTCCTTTGAACTCACCAGAGCAGTAGCATAAGTCTTGGGCTTGAAAATGCCTGCCTTAGATCTTGTAATCATGTGGTGTTGACCTGCTCTATCTGTAACATTGTCAACAACATTAGGAGCATGGGAATTACCAAGATTAGAAGCAGTAGGCTGCACAATAGGTAGGTCAATGATGATCTGCCCTATGGGAATAGAAGAGGACTGAGAGCTAGAAGGGGAATGGGAGGGTGAGTTGGAGTGAGGGGTATTGTGATAAGATG